TGTATTAGGAGAACTGGGATCTAATACCTAGGAACCACCTTAAGTAGAGTAATCCTGCTTGGAATCAGAATCTCTAGTTTCCAATACCCCCCTCCAGCCCCCTTAAAGGCCCACACATTATTATACATATCTATCTTAGTTAGTCCTGTAACTATAATGCTACAGAATTAAAGGTGTCAGAATAACACCGTATATATTGCTACTATCTGTCCAACTGGATCCTGTTTGCAGAATATATAAGAGGGGATGTGCGGCAAGGTCGGAGAAGTGGAATAAATTAAATCCATCAACTACTCAGAGAAGTATAAGGCTTTAAAGATGGTACATCATTTATATAAAGTGTAAGTAACAGGACATTTATGTATGATGATATGATATTGAATGTTAGAGGATCTGTTAGGGATACCATGATCTGATGCCTAGAAATCATCCTAAGTAGGGTAACTCTATTCAGAATTGGGATCTCTGGTCTCCGACACCCCCCTCCAGCCTCCTTACTCGGCCTGCACGTCATCATACATATCAATCTCAGTTGCGTCCTGTGACTATAACACTACAGAATTGAAGGTATCAGAAAATTACCATATACATCGCCTCCATCTATCCAACTAGATCCTGTTCATGGTATATGTGAGAGGGGACCTTCAGCTAAGTCTGGGAAGTGGAACGGAGCAAATCCATTAACTACTTAGAGAGTTACTAGGCTTCAAAGATGTAACATCTTTGGTATAGGCCGTATATAACAGGATATTTTTGCCTAAAAAGATGATATTGAATGATAAATGATCTCAACAAGAGACCCGTACATTCGTATCTACCCTATAATAACCAGAAGAGTTTAGAACTCTGAGGAACACTACCATAGAAGCCAATGAACTTTACAGAGTGTTGCAACTAGGTTTCGAAACACATTATAGCTGTGAGGATGACTCCTAATACTACAACAGCAATTGAAACCCAGTTACCCAGAGCAACAAAGAGTTGCTGACTGAAGGAATATTTGTCAATCAGGTAGAATAGCTTTCTGCGAATTAGTAGGAAGTTCTCTGAAAGATATCTATTAGTTGGGTAAGGAGTTATGAAGGTTTGAAGTCAGATGACCTAGAAAGATTGCAATTTCAACTACCTTTGCAGATGCAACCTGCAGATGAAACTGATTATTTCATCAATGATAGAGACAATTGGGGCCAACTCAGTTCGACTTGAGAACTAGGCCCTAACTCTGAAGACTCTAATAATCAGATAACTACTATTTGGAACAGTATGGTCTCTAGTTAGTTATATTGTAATTGCTAAAGAGAGTGTGGTGATTTTCAGGGTCTCCAGGTGTTAACACCTTTTAAGAATACCCGATATTGCAAGTTATAATCAGAGAGGTACATAGTTGTATAATAAGTAGATGTAGTCCACTAACACTCAGACATGAAATATAAATATCGAAGTACCTCCTAAGCTTTAGATATCATTAAGTAATGGAGAAGAGACTTTAACAATATAATATTGTCTTCATGATTCAATTCTACTTTATTACTTCACTCTTAGTAGTTATAAATGAAACGAATGAAGTTCGAGCCTTCCTAGACAATCTCTGTCCATAGAAATGAATTTTGGTTGGCCTAGACAACTCTGAAGTTTATCAGGTTGGCTCCGCCTAATAGGATCTCTACAAAGAGCCAACACATTCTCATCTATCCTACAATAATTAGAAGAGTTTATAACTCCTAGAAAGCACTATCAAAGAAGCCAATAGACTTCTCAAAGTGTTACAACTAGGTCAAGAAATGTGTCATGGTCTAGGGAATTATCACTAATACAAGATAACAAATAAAGTCCTGTGATCTAGAATAATCAGGAGTTGCGAACCGAGAGATTATTTGCCAATCTAGTAGAATAGCTTCCTGTAAATCAGTAGGAAGTTATCCTGAAGGTATCAGTCAATTGGATCAGGAGTATTGCGGGTTTAAAGTTGGTGACCTAGGAAGGTTCCATTAACAACTATTCCTGCAGTCACAATCTATGGATGAAACTGATCATTTCATCAATAAGGAAGACAGTTGGAGCCAGTACAGTTCAACTTGAGAACTAGGCTATAAGTCCAAGAACTCTGAAGACCAAATAGTTACTATTGGAAACTGTTAAGTGGAGATAACCGGTATAGACTCAGAGTTGTCAAGACCAACCAATATTCGTTTCTGTAGATAGAGATAGTCATAGGAAGTCTCAAAATACACTTATTTCATTTATGACTACTAAGAGTGAAGTAAAATAGGTAAAGTAGAATAGAATTGTAAGAACAATATTATATTGTTAAGGACCCTTCTCTGTTACTTAATGATATCTAAAAGCTTGGAAGGCACTTTGATATTTATATTCCACATCTGAGTGTTTACAGAGTACATATATCTATTATACAACCTATATACCTCTCTGGTTATAACTCGTAATATCGGGTATTCTTCAAAGGTGCGAATACCTGGAGACTCTGAAAACTACCACAACCTCTTCGGTAATCACCATTTTGCTAACCTAGGAACTATACTGTTCTCAATAGTAATTATCTGATCTTCAGAGTCTTTAAATTTATGGCCCAGTTTTCAAGTTGAACTAAGTTGGCACCAATTGTCTCTGTCATTGATGAAATGATTAGTTTTATCTGCAGGTTGTATTTGTGGAGGTAGTCGTAATCACAATCTTCCTAGGTCGCCTGACTTTAAACCCCCATAACTTGAAACCCAATCGACAGATATCTTCCGGATAACTTCCTACTAATTTGCTGGAATCTATTCTACCAGATTGACAGATAATACTTTAGTCAGCAATCCTTAGTTGCTCTGGGTAACAGGGTTTCAATTGCTATTCTAGTATTGGGAACCAGTCCTGCAACTACAAAGCGTGCCTTGACACAGTTATAACACCTGTAAAGTCCATTGACTTGCATAGTAGTGTTTCTCGGAGTTCTAGACTCTTCTCATTATCATAGAGTGAGTGCAAATATATTGGTTTCTTGTTGAGATCCTTTAATATTCGATACTCTATCTTTGTGTGAAAACGTCTTGTTACTTACCGCCCATTCCAAAGATGTCACATCTTTGAAGTCTAGTAACACTCTGAGTAGTTGATAGATTTACTCCATTCTACTTCTCAGACCTAGCCGAAGGGCCTCTCTCCTATATTGTGTGAACAGGACCCGGTCAGACAGACAGTAGCGAAGTATACAGTATTATCCTGACACTTTCAACTTTGTGGCTATATAATCACAGGATGCAACTAAGATAGATATGTATGATGATGTGCAGGCCATGTAAGGGGGCTGGAAGAGGGTGTTGGAGACCAGAGATTCCAATTCCGAGTAGGGTTACCCTACTTAGGGTGGTTCCTATGTATCGAATCCCAGTATTCCTAATAGAAACAGTACTGTTCTTCAACTAGTAAAATAGTAAATTACTGAAAAGTGTATAATAGTTTTCAGGGTCTCCTGGTATTCCTACTTTTGGAGAATACCTGACATTATGAGTTATAGTTGGAGAGGTACATAATTTGTATGAGAGATAGATGTAGTCCATGAATACTCAGATGTGAAATATAAATATTGAAGTTTTTCCCAAGCTTTTAGACATTATCAAGCAACGGAGAAGAGACCTCAACAATATAATATTGTTCTTACAACTCTATTCTACCTTACTTTACTCATACTAGTCATAAATGAAATGAGTAACCCTCTGAGCCTTCCTAGACAAATCTCTGTGTACAAAATAAATCTTGATTGGCCTAGACAATTTTGAGTCTATACAGATTGTCTCTACCTAATAGTTTGCTAGAGCTTAGTTTTAGTTTTTATTTTATTTCAAGAATTGATTATGTTCTTGATTACTAATACTGTGGCAATTAGGGAGAGGCCATAGCAGATCTCAAATTCTATATGGCACTTGTAGAAATATGATACTGAATTAGATATTTCTCTTGACAATATGTTCTATATTTCTTTGTATCTGATTGGTTGTTTATTTTTAGCTTACTTAGCATGTTTAAGAAATAGTTTTCTCTTATGATATATATTTATTTATTATGTGTTTTAACGGGTTTTACTGAACGGTATCTGGTTTTGAGATAGTGGGTAAAGTTATAGTATGATGAATTCTATAGCGGTGTGTTTATGCAAATTTAAGAAATATTAAGCTCTGGTCAACGTTGTAATAGCAGCTGGTATTCTGGCGTACGGCTTACTATTCTGTGGAATATGTTGGGTAAAATCGAGCTTGAAGAGCAAATATTCCCTGTTAGCTTGACTTTGTCAAGAAGGCAATTGTGTAAGTTGTATTGGCTAAGGGGTTGGTAACTCTGTCGTGTGTCACCATTAGTGGGGGTGACAATGGAGAGGGTGCCTCACAGGAAAGGTGCTTGTCGATTTCTGAAGTGGCGGCCAAGTTTTGGGTATCATCTAATTCAGGTCAACCGGAGCACTAGATACTAATGTTAAATTATAAGCCCCGCTGTACCATACAGCGCTAGCGAATTTACTATGAACCCCCTCTTGGTAGTTAAGGGTATCCAAGGCATTCATGGAGTGTCCTTTCTTTCGTAGGGTAGGAGCCTAGCCGCACAAGAAGCATGGCCAGTTATTGGAAGTGTTCACTGACTGACCATGAGATCCGAGAAGTGGCGGACCTCAATTTTTGATACGAGATTGAAAGTACCCTAACCGCTTCTTCCCATACCGGTATTGCACATCCCCTTCTCCTTATCGGGGGAAAAGACCTTTCCGGATATGTAAAAACTTTGATTTCGCCATAGATTATCACTCGCACTCCAACCTCCTAATCAGGCTTAGCCATGTTATTATCATACCATGGCTGTAACGCTGTTTGGCCTTCGGTAGGGTTACCCCCACCATCCCCCCAACACCATTTGGGGGGGAAAAAACAGGTGAAAAAGAAAAACAAAACACTATTTCTCTCTTTACCATCATCCGCAATCAACCACACCTCCGACACCACTAGAAAATGGGGTTTGACAGCAAACAAAAAAAGCGCAAGGGTAATTAATCAATTCCTCCATTTCCCCCTCCTAATTAGGTCGTAACTAACAATTACCACCAGCCGCAAAACCCGCCGTCTCCCCAATCACAAAAAGGACAAAAGTCGATGCGGTCGAAAAAAAGAAGCCTGAGACGGCCGCGCCCATTGCCGCCACTAATCCCGGGATAAAGCCCGCTCCAACGAGGATGAAAGCTGTGGAATTCCTTTCATCTGATGATGATGACGAAGAAGCCTGGGTGGGGATTGAAGACGATAAGGGAAAGAATAAGAAGGCCACTAAAGTCAAGAAGAACGAGAATGTAAAGGGGAAGGGAAAGAAGAGTGCTGCTTCTAAGAAGGGGAAGAGGAAGGGGGAGGTTGAGGCTAAAGAGTCTACTCCTGAATCTGAAAGGAAGAAGAAGGTTGTGACTACTGCTAAGGCCGGGAGTGATGTCGGTGATGATGGTGAGGAAGAGGAGACGATCTTACTTGATGTCTCTGGCGGCCCTGATTCAGATGATTCAGAAGTCGAGGAGGCGGAGGAGGAGGTCGATGATCGTACGGCGACTTTGCTTAGGGGATTCGAGAGTAGTGATGATGAGGGAGATGACGAGAGAGAGGCGGAGAAGAGTAACGGAAAGGAGGTTGATGGTGTCAAATTTAAAGGGGTGAGGATTCCTGGGGACAAGAAAACTAGGAAGAAGTTGGGGACTTTGGTGGCAGGGAGAGAAAAGGTTGGTGTCATTCTTATGTTTTATTTTGCACCCTTCGCAATCACCTCAATTGGGGCCAGTTTTTTCTCCCCCACGGCATATATGATGAGACGAAAAAAATCGATTAGTCTTTAAGACATCTACATGGTTATTAAAGTTCAGGATTTGATCTGATATTCCTCTGCTCAATCATGCTCTTTTCCGTCCTCTACATAGCGCATAGCTAACCCGCACCCACCCTCCCAGTCAATCCCTGGTATCATCTACCTCGGCCGCATCCCCCACGGCTTCTACGAGCAGGAGATGCGCTCCTACTTCTCCCAATTCGGCGATATCACCCGCCTCCGCCTCTCGCGCAACAAGCGCACCGGCAAGAGCAAGCACTATGCCTTCATTGAGTTCGCAGACGTCGACGTAGCCAAGATCGTTGCGGACACAATGAACAACTACCTCCTCTTCGGCCACATCCTCAAGTGCAAGATCGTGCCTAGAGACGACATCGAGGTTGTCGAGAGGTTGTTTATCGGCGCCAACAAGCGCTTCAAACCCAGGCCTGGTGCGAAGTTGCAGAAGGCGGAGCTCGAGAAGAAGAGGACGAGGGAGGAGTGGGAGAAGAGGGAGAAGGCTGAGAATGCGAAGCGGAAGAGGATTAATAAGGAATTGAAGAGTAAAGGAATTGAATATGAGTTTGTTGCTCCAATGGTTAAGACGCCGGTTATTGAGGATGCGCCAATAGAGGATGCAGAGGAGGCTGGTGAGGCACCGCCGGTGGAGGAAGTTAAGGTGGTAGAGACTACGGTTGAGGTTGAGAAGGCCATCACTACTACCACCAATGAGGCTGTCAAAGATGTCGAGGAAGTGGGGGAGGCCGTTGAGGAGGCTGAGGTCGAGGAGAAGAAGGTCGCCAAAAGGGCGAAGAATGCCAGGAAAACAAAGACCAAGAAGTCGACCAAGAAAAAGAAGTCTTCTGTAAAGGTGTAATCCGCATGATATTTCAAAATCGAAGTCTTTTATTTGTATTTTTTTCTCTTAAAAACGTAACGTAAAGCTATTCACGCTCTAATTGATACGATAGCGTGCTCGGATACTAATTGAAACGCTGTGAGCTATCGACGTGAAAATTCGACATGTGCTGATACCAATTTAGGGTTCTGTGACTTTTGAAGTTTTGATATTGGAAACATTCACCTTGTCTCTCACAGTTCTGCCAGGCAACGCTAACAGCGGGGCCCAATCTTTTTTTTCTTTCTCATTACCCTCACCTCAGCACCACCACAAATTTCCTCAATTCTCCGCCAAAAAGATATACCCACCCCCTTGTGACAATGGTGCGCTCACCACTAACCCACCTCGCCCGCATAATCTTACGAAAATCTCTCTTCAAAAACCCCCCGAATCCGTACACCCCGACGTCAAAACGAGGCCTAAATGTCCTCAGATATGCCCCAGCAGAATATCCCAAAGGTCCCAAGAAACAGAACCAGGTGGACTGGAAATTAATACCGCGGGAAGAGCACAGGATTCAATGGGAGGACCTGATGGTTAAGTACATTGATACCCATACGTATTTGTATTCTACGCTTCAGCAGATGAAGGATGTTTGTAGATCTTCTCTCCATGAACCTTTTTTTTTTCCCCTACTCTTCATCCGGAGGGGGTAGGTTCGCTAATTTGACATCCGGGGGAGGGTGCCCGTTAGGCATTCAACGATGGATCAATACCGAGTCACAGAATTGACCACTTCGTGGAACGCTTCTTCCCGGAGCAGTGCACTGCAGTGGTAGACGTCCTGGGGAACGTAGAAAATTTGAGATTGTATTCTTCGGCGGTGGAGCTGCCATGGTGGAAAGAATTTAATTACTAGTATTCGCTTCCCTACCTCCTTCAGTCTAGGAAGCCATCTGACCTACTCTGCAGCTTTGCCATCGGCGCCCACCCTTACAGCGCCCCAGCCTACAACGACAACACCCACAACACAATTGTCAGCGCCCTCAGTCACGAGCGATGCGTCGCCCTGGGCGAGTGCGGGCTGGACTACTTTCGCACGGACTCAGTCACCTGGCACACTCAACGACAAGTCTTCATCCGCCAACTCACTGCCGCAGTCTTCGCCCGGAAGCCCATTCTGATCTACACCCGTGACGCCGAGCGCGACACATTCTCAATCCTACATGACCACGTTCCTGGTGATCAAAAATTGCACATACAGTCGTTCACGGGCTCGCGGGAGTTCGGAATGAAGGTGTTAGAGCACTGGCCGAACAGCACAATGGGCATCACAGGTGCGATAACGTATGGCGGAACACAGCACGTCGCAGAGATGATTGAGGAAGGGGAGATCCCGCTGGAAAGAATGATGCTGGGGAGTAAGAGTCCGTTTATCATCCCAAAAAGCATTTATCCACATCTTGTGAAGACCACACGGCCGAAGTTGAAGCGGGAGAAGTTTGTCGCTGGACACTCTGGGATGCTGCCGATTATCGCGCAGGAGGTCGCTACGATTGTCAATAAGGCGTTGAAAAAGAAGAACAAGATGAAGGATGATCCTTTGCACAAGATGGATAGCATTCTCCAGTGTTCGAATGAGGTTGCAGGGAGGTTTTTTGGGATTAAAATGTAGGTAGAACAAAGCATGGGGAGCGGGAGTGGGTGCTTTTTTTCGATTGTACATTCATAGATAGATTTAAGACTCCTAGTACTGTATTTATTGGCGTTTCCCGTTATAACCCCCCCCCCTTCCGGTCTGTTCCGGGGATTTTTTTGATTTTTTATCCGTGGAGAGATTCTTAGCTGCCGGGCCTTGTATTCTCTCCCAATCTTGCTCTGCTGTACTGTACTTTTACTGTAAAAATACCCTGATCAGAGTTTGTCTATCCCTCGCCTCTGCCCAGCCCCTTGAGCTTCCATCGTCCAGCCCGTTTTCCGCTCTCCTCGCTCGTAAATGTCAAGAACCTTGATATGAGTATTTCTTTTAACTCCGCATACACCCCATCGACTCTATTCCATATGTGGTCTCAGATAGCGCAAATACCCCTCTAACTGCCTTTGTCCGTTGCTTTATTGATAGGTGTTCGAGCGGTGGAGTATGATATTGCGGACAGTGGGCTCAAAGAAAGCTACTCTTCCACGGGATATAGTCATTCCTGTCAATAATTCTCGGATATATTTAAGTATGTGGCAGAATGTTTACGTGGTAGATGGCGATGACTAGCAGTATGTATCATACCAGTACGGGGACAAAAGGATTCGTCCGATGCCCTTTTTACACCAAAAATGGACATTTTCAGACGGACAATTCTCAATGTTGCTTATACAAAAACATGTCAAATTGTTCCACCAGCTAGGGAATAACTATCTATTCCAAATTCTACAAGCATAAGTGCAAGGAATCAAAGCTGTCTTTATTGTTCATGATTGCATGAACAAGTGTGAAAGTAACCTAAATTTTTGTATGGGGCTCTATAGAAAAAAGTACTAGATGGTAACTGGTACCAGATACTTAAACTTTTTCTCTATCACTTTCTAATATTTAAGAATCCTGAAACATTCTTCATGTTATCTACAGGTTTGCTAATGCAATGACAAATTTGTGCAGATTCTCATGGGCATTGCGCAATGAGAGAGGGTGGTGAAGATGGGCGATTCTGGTGTAAAAAGGGCATCGGACGAATCCTTTTGTCCTAGTACTTTAGTATGACATTTTTAAGGTTGCAAAGACGGAGCTAAAATCCTAGAACTAAAACCCTATTAAGAGGAATTGAATTTATCGAATACTAAACAAAGTCGATGTGATTGGTAAATACCACATCCATCGCCTACTCGAGCAATAATTCAGGATCCATGAAAACACGTGTTTCCATAAGAACTACTTAGTACTATGCCAGGATAGATACCTTACAGTAAATGAATAACTTTGAGTAAGTCACATATTATAAGTCTTACACGAACCCAAAAAAGTTCAGGGGATTAGTTCTTCTGCCTCCTGTTTGCCTATAAGTTTACTGTTCTTAGCAAGCTTATACATATATATATATATATCCTGTAGTAATAATCATCTTGCTTATTGAGTATGGATGAGTATGTTATTACTATTAGTAAGTATATTTTCAGTACTATTTAGGTATATCTCATGGCTGAGATAAACCATGGGATTAATCGTAGTAGTAGCATGCGAACAGCATACTCAGACTAGCAGAAGCACATACAAGTAATTATATTAGCGGTTTAATCCAACCACAGTGAAAGAGTGATAGTAAGAAACAAACATGCCGTATCAATAATGACCACACTTGAAAAAGTATCTCATATTTAATAAAGCGGCTTACTTAAGACCCATAAGTCCAAGAAGCATATATCGTATTATAGTAAGATTTAGACCGATATGACTTTGTATGCTAGAACTCATAATACGGCTAATTTGAATTGCAAGCTTCATGTATATGATAACACTTCTATCTATATAAACCTCATCCTACAATCAGGTTCACTTAAAGGTTCCAAACCAAGTAACTAGTACAAGAACTTTGTTTATCAAAAGTCATACATGTGTCTCATGTGAGGATTACCCAGAATCAATGATCTATGAAGTATGATATCATACTAAGCAATATAAAGCTTAATGTACAGACCAATCACCACTCCCACAAACAGATTTAAAAGGGGAAATTACCACTTTTCATCAAACCTTTCCGCCAAAACCTCTAGATAAGCATACTTTCAACCGAATAAACTCCAGCAACCATGCTCTCCCTATAACTAGCCTCCTTAATCTTCCTTCTATTAAGCTGTCTTAACTCTTTGAGATTGATACCGTTTTCTGCAGGTTGCGCCATTACCAAACTAATCCTCGAAATTGGCGCCGGCGGAACGCCTAAAGGTAATAACGGGCTAACGACTGACGTGTCTGTGTTGATCATCGGTCCAGAATTCACCAAGTGTTTTGCCACGGATACGCTTTTTGCCGGTATCTCTCTTGTTCTTTTTATCACAATCCCCCCAATCTCATTTTGAGGTCCGGCCTCCTCAGGCGGCAGTTTCGAAAAGACGAATGCCTCTGCCGGTTTGTCTGCCGATTCGCCCACTGTGTTTTTCGAAGGGGTGTTTTCCGAAGGCACTGCAGGGTATCCGAGCGCCGATTCCATTTTGTCCTCCCCATTCTGAAGCCCATTCACTTCCACCCCCTTCCCCTTCTTCTGCCCCCCTTCCCCTCGACTCCCACCCCCCCTTGCGCTTTCCTTGACCCCCTTAGGGTTCTGTTTCCGCTTTTTGGCCTGCTTTTTATCTGCCTGCTTTTTCTCGAGCGTCACCCTCCTCCAGTCCGCATGTCTAAGCACTTCCTCCAAGATGCTTTTGAGCGCCGCAGCTTCCTGAGCACCTTCCACAACAGCAGTAACCTCGCTGCGCAATTCTTGAATAAACTCATCACTGCTATTGCCCAAGACCAACCCCCCAATACCAACCGTATCAAGAGCAACGGTGAGAAGGTCTGCAATGATCCCAATATCTTCGATCCCGATACCTATTCCAACTTCACCATGCAGCTTCCGACCAAATAGAAGCTCCTTACGCAAAAGATGTATAAGACCCATCAGGTCCTGGCCCCCTAACCCCGTCCTCAGAGCTTTGGTAATCGCTTCTGCTGGAAAGCCGTTCAGCCTGACGAGAGCCAACCGCATGACCTCACTTCTGATAACATCGAGAACGATTTGGTCCTCGCCACAAATATTCACATTTCCATGATCCAGACCAATCTTTATAGCTTTTATAACCTCCCCAAGACCGATCTCACCAGCGACCCCCAATATCCACTCCAGAGTCCTCAGCGAAGGATCGAATTCTGCCAGGCACTGTACAAGGCCGCTGTAGGACCTAATGAGTGTCTCGGAGAAGTTACCGGACTCAATAAGGTATCTGAATACATTCGGAGGACAAAAGGATACACTGAGGCATTGTGCAGAGTTATGGTCTGAGGAAGCTTCAAATATCATATCCAACACACCCACCACAAACTCATAGCGGAGGGGTTTATAAATGCTCGGCAAATGGCTCCCGTCTCGTTGAAGAGAAAGTCCAGGAACAGGCTTACCCATGGAAGAAAGCTCATTTACCACTTCTAAATCAGAGGTTCCGTTGACCATAGGAGTACCCTCGCCCAGCTCAGTTTCCACTGTCTCCCAGCTAACCCCCACGTAATCTGCGAAAATTTGTTCGAATCCCTGGAGATCGCCAGCCTTCTTGGCTTCCTTCAAATCCCTAATAACCTTCCTAACGGCCTTGCTCTCGGAAGCCAATCTCGATACAAGCTTTCTTGGTCCTGGGGCAACAGGCGCTTGTCCTTTAGATATCCCCACGTCAACAATCTCAACACCACGGCATAGACTATCAATGAGAAGCCCACTCCTCCTCGTTCCAGCTTTAGCACTAGATTTTCCACCTGTGCGTGTCAACTGCACACCAATGATTCCCGCCTGGGAATATCCGACCGCCAGATCGAGGTCTTGGATATAACTAGTCAGGAATATTTGGCCTTTAGGCTTTCCATCTAATCCCGACACAGGAGAGATCGCTCTGGGTGGATCTCTGCTGGCAATCGTGGAAGAAGTAGGATTCTGGTGCAGTGGCGCGCGAGCTTGTAGAGACGAAAACTTTGTGTCGTATAAAGAGATATCTTCGTGTGTTGCTACAAGAACTGTCGACGAAGAGATTCTGAGAAGAGAATACATATGATGGACCCCACCTGAGCCTGTTGGAAGTCGAAGGGAAGATGCAACTGCAGGTACGGTTGGCCCAAGCGAAAATGTTGTTAAATGCGTTGCCGAAAGTTGGTAAAGCGTGGCAGACGACAAGTGAAGTGAGAATATAGAATGCCGGTCACTTTCCACTGCCAAAAGGTCCGAGACTAGGAGCTCGCTAGCAGTCTTTCCTGCGGCTTGAGCCGTGGGTATTAAGAACAGGCGAGTCTGGAAATGGCTGCCGGTGTGAATCACGGTGAATAAAACGAGGTCTCTAGGTTCTACGGTGTCTTCAATACCACACCCTGGAATAAGCACATCGGGCCTGTTCTTCAATAAAGTTTTGCGCACAACGCTTAAATCAGCCGTGATCGCATAAGCCACTTCTGGGGAAGCAGATATCTTTTTCGGGGTTCCGGTAGTGGGAAGCTCTGATGGCCCAAGTTCCCAAAGCTCCTCCTTCAAGTCTGGTGAAAGGCAACAAATAAAACCATCCTTGTAGACCACCAAAAGCCCTGTGCCTCCGCCCGCAGATAGATCATGGAGATACACTACTTCATGTCTAGAATCGTTATTCCGAGATAAAGGTGTTAAAGCAGTCGATTCCAACTCAGTGTCCTGTCCGCCACGGACGTCGTTTTCCTCCCAGCAAACAATCCGCCTTTTCGGGAACGATACGGCAGCGTATGTCTTTCTCAACAATTTTGATTTTGAAACTCGCGTTGCTGAAGACACAGGTGCGCAAGAGAACCTAGTCGTAGGCGGAAGTGGGTGCGCCGATAAAAGCTGTGCGGAACGTACCTAGTCAATTGTTAGGAAAACTGTTCAGGAAAAAAGATAATCCAACGTACATCATAAATATTGACACCTTCTCCATCAATAGCTATCGCAACCTCTGCATTGCTAGAGCGCCCTCGTTTCTTATTCTCTACCTGAGAAGTGTGGCATGTACGATAGGTACTCCCCCCACGATCCCCCGCCTGTGTTCGACGAATTGGTTGAGAGAGTGGAAAAATTGTATAAGGTGTAGATAAAGATATAGGAGATGTGTTTACCGCCATATTAGGCAAACAAGAAAGAGGTCTGCTTACGGTGAAGGAGGTTGGTGGAAGTCTGTAGGAAAAGAGGAAGAAAAAATATCCACAACCCTGGTGAACAAGGAGGCTCCGCCATGATGCCTATAGCGGTAGTCTTCAACAGGGGTCCATTGAAGTACCGGCCGGGTAACAAAAAGATACTGCATCTCCAAGTGATCCCTGCCCGTCACCCGCTGGTTTTCGTCTTGCCCTCGTTGAAGGCGTATGATAGCAACACCGGGCCACAAAACTCCGCAAAAAAAACTTCTCTTCCTTCTCGTCACAAGTCGGTCGAAGGCAGCAACACAAATCCCCTAAAACCCATTTCAGAAACGACGAAAGCTCACAATGGCTGGCAACAGGCAGTCCTTAACTAAAGGACTTGAACGAAAGGTTCTTGCTATAGTTCGGAGGTATATTGATGAACTATCAGTCGCCGGAGAAAAAAATGGCCCTCTACGTTTGTCGGTCTCGCAGGTTTTTCAATATGTTATTACAGATGAGAGTGTGCCAAGGCAGAAGAAACAGAATTTGGAAAAGATGATTGAAAAAGCCTTAGACACAATACGGGATGAGGAGGCCGAAGCCGATAGTCTAGACAGTGACTTGAGCGAGTTCGAGGAACTCAATGAAGAGGGCTTCATGGAACCAAAGGTACCGTACAACAATAGCCGAATCATCTGAAATTCAAATCACTCTAACGCTTAATCCTCCACCAGGAATCAAACACAATGAACAAGCGAGTAGTAAATATGTGGTCAACAAGCACATCAAGCACGACAACTCCCAAACCTCCCCCGCCAATTCCGGAAATCCCTCCCCCCATAGCCAGCAATACCGTACCAGAATCGCCAGCACCCCGAAAACGAAAGGGACGCCAGCCGGTCAAAGATAGCGAATCTGCGAAACGTCAGAAACAAGACGACTCTCGCGAGCCACCCAAGAACATCTCCCTGAAGGACATTGGCGGCTTAGAAGATGTCATTAACGATCTTTTAGAGCTTATCGCCATGCCTCTAACCCACCCGGAGGTTTACCTACATACCGGAGTGCAGCCGCCTCGTGGTGTACTACTCCATGGACCACCCGGTTGCGGTAAAACTATGCTAGCAAATGCTGTTGCCGGAGAGATTGGGTTACCATTTATTGCTATTTCTGCACCCTCAATTGTGTCAGGAATGTCTGGAGAATCGGAAAAGAAGTTACGGGAACTTTTCGAGGAAGCTCGGGAGAAAGCCCCTTGCTTAATATTTATGGATGAAATAGATGCTATAACACCAAAGAGGGAGAGCGCCCAGAGAGAAATGGAGAGAAGAATTGTTGCCCAGATGTTGACCTGCATGGACGATCTTACATTGGAGAAGACTAGCGGGAAACCTGTCATGATTATTGGTGCAACAAATCGACCTGACAGCCTGGATCCGGCGCTGAGAAGAGCGGGAAGATTTGATAGGGAAATTTGCCTTAACGTGCCAGATGAGGTTGGAAGAGAGAAGTATTTTCCCTGACCAGTTTTAATATTAATTTCCCAATACGTACTAATTTACTAATTCTGTATCTTACAGGATACTGAGGGTATTGTGTCAAAAGTTGAGGTTATCAGGAGATTTTGACTTCAAAAGATTGGCCAAAACAACCCCCGGGTTTGTCGGAGCTGACCTAAATGCTTTGACAGCAGAGGCCGGCGCGGTAGCAATGAGACGAATATACGAAACTCTTATAATCCCACCCGCCACCATAGACACTTTAGAGACAAAAATCGTTGCTAAGCTAGGCGACTTAGCCAACTTGGACATGTGTCAAATCAACCCCCCCCCACTAGTAGCATCAATTACTCAAACGTCAGAGTCTCTTAGCTTAATTCAACGCTTCCTTAAAGCATACCCAGACCCACTTAGCGAAAAGCAACTAGATTCACTCCATATAACCCTCCCAGATTTCTTAACAGCCCTTCCGAAAATTCAGCCTTCGTCTAAAAGAGAGGGTTTTGCAACTGTCCCCGATGTTACTTGGGCAGATATTGGGGCGCTTGAGTCACTTAGGGTTGAAATGCAGATGGCCATCGTGCAACCAATCAAGAGGCCGGAACTTTTTGCTCGCGTTGGGGTTACCGCGCCGGCTGGGGTACTCCTTTGGGGCCCCCCAGGGTGCGGCAAGACCCTGCTGGCAAAAGCCGTTGCGAATGAGAGTAGGGCAAATTTCATCAGCATCCGGGGTCCGGAATTACTAAACAAGGTTTGAACCCTGTTTCCGACATCCCACAATCGTAAAGCCCTTTACTGACCAGCCAGTACGTTGGAGAATCCGAGCGGGCTGTCCGCCAAGTTTTCACACGAGCTCGAGCCTCTATTCCGTGCGTTATCTTTTTTGATGAGTTGGATGCTTTAGTTCCCCGTCGCAATGACAGTCTTTCGGAGTCCTCCTCCCGTGTAGTCAATACCCTCCTTACAGAACTGGACGGCCTAAATGATCGCAAGGGAATCTATGTCATCGGTGCAACCAATAGACCCGATGTCATTGATCCAGCAATGCTCAGACCGGGAAGGTTGGATAAGCCTTTATTCGTAGACCTCCCAAACACGGGGGAGAGAGTAGAGATTTTGAAGATTATCACCAAAAATACACCACTCTCCAACGTTGATCTAGGGGCTATTGCAGTGGATAACAGGTGCAAAAATTTCAGGTCAGTCTTGCTCAATGCACCTTCCATCTTCAATACTGATATTGTGTTAGTGGCGCGGATCTAGCGGCACTCGTGAGAGAGGCCGCAGTTCTGGCTCTTCGACATGCCTGCTTCACAGACGTTGCTGAAGTTGAAGAAGGCAAAAATGCTGACAACCTCGAAGTAATGGTCACAATGGAGGATTTCGAAAAAGCGTTCGTAAACATCAGGCCTTCGGTGTCAGAGGACGACAGAGAGCAGTATCAGGAGTTGGCAACTAGATTTGGTTGGGGAAAGACCGTACTAGCAAAATAGATTAGATGTGCCTCCCTAGTACTCATAATATAATATATTTTGGAGGTGATTATGTCCCATATATGGGGATCTGAGCCGTGTGATGTTGAGCCTTAGAACTTTTATGTGCAGATTCCAAAAATCATGTTTCCAGTTCACAGGATCCGGAGCAATTAAAGCCTTCCGCCCCTGGTCACTCAAGAAAGGGGTGGACAATACCAGTATTTTTCTTATAGCCACAATCTTCAAATCAATTCCCGACCATGTGAAACTATTCGTCCACGTTTTCACGATCGTCCTGGCCGCTCAGCAGCCAACCGATCAAACATGTGTGAATCTCAAGATATCAACCACTTGAGAAGACAGCACCATAAGGCGCTAAAAGTGGCCGGGGAAGTTCCCAAGCAAACCTCCCTACCGACACCCGGGTACAGGACTAGGATCAAGGCCTGCTAACACTCTAATGCCTTCTAACCATCGCCAAATAACTTTTTATGATAGTTCTTTCTTTGTTGAATTCAATAGCTCTGATTTGGACAAAATTATTGTACACATCTCATAAATGTTGTACCACTTCTCTCTAACCTCTAATCCCTGCTCTGTACAGTACAGTACCGTACCATGAATTCATGATCTACCCTTGTATATACACGAGCACTTTCTTCCATCACATGAATCGCAGAGTTTTGGCTATGATACCAGCCATGAGCTATGTGATACTACAGCCAACCAATCCCAAAACCCGTACAACAATGCTTACCATGCAACACAAAGGAAGGGAAAAAGCAACGTTTCTATAGCCAAAACGGTATGATACTCGTAATGTCGAAGCGTTTTTAAAATAGACTGCTATTGCATACCAACAAAAAATTGACCCTTTTACTTGGATCCGGGTGGTATGCCATAAATTAGCAAGAACGCTTCGACACTAAGAGTACTGCCCTAACCCTCCCTCTACCGGGGCGCCGGCCGGGGAAGAGGAAGGGTCTTTCGCCAAGAATTAGACGACTATCCCTTGGGCGGTCTGAGACAGTAAAATTCGCGACAGGCACGCTAACCAATACGCTAATCCAGACCTGGGCGCTTGGCAGCTTATTAAGACATGCTGTGATATCAGAATAAGAGAAGGAGTTTATGTGTGAATACAGTAACTGAGAAAACAATGGTCGTAAAAAAAAAAAAAAGAAAAAAAAAAAGGAGAACTAAGAAAGTTGAAAAGATCTACGATAGTACAGTCGTGTCCGGAAAGTTTTCGTACCCTCGCATGGCAACCGCACAACCACAACCTCCAATCATAAAAATTTCAAAAAAAATGTAAAGAATTCAATTAAAGAAAACATGATAGTATTGCTAGTAGACAATAAAAAAACATTATTACCATTTTGTATGGCCTCCATTTGCATCCAGTACAGCTTGCATTCTCTCAGGCATCCTATCTATCCATTCATCCAACTTCTCTTAGGGAATTAAATCCCACTCTTCCTTTGCTGCCTCAAACAATTCAGCTATACTATGAGGCCTTCTTTCCAGTCTGGAGAATCGCTTGGTAAGGGCTCTTTTGAGTAGTGCCCATATGTTCTCAATAGGATTGAGATCTGATGAGTTGGATGGCCAAGGGAATTTTTTGTAACCACAGTCTGCTTCCAATTTTCAATTTTCCTCACCACCATGCCAGGAAGTATTGTCTGCAGTAAGGTAGATATTGTCAGAAGGTCTATCCAGACCCTCTATAAAAGGGATAAGGTAAGGCTGATGGATCTCAGTTGCATATTGGTGAGAGTTTAGGCCAAGTCTATCTCTTTTGCTAGTTCTTTCCTCCTCCCTCTTCTTTCTCAAAAGAATTAACTCAGTCTTTCCTCCCTTCATCATTGCAGCATATACTCCAATGCTAGTCCTTCCAGACTTAAAGCTAGGCTTTAAGTTTTTTTCTTCTAGCTCTTCACCAGGTCTAACTCTAACTTTTCTGCCTGTTGGATTTGGATCATAAACAATGGTGACTTCATCCACAAAAACAACCCAATTCCATGCCCCTTTCCAGTTCCTCCTTCTCCTAGCAAACTCCCTTCTTTTCTCCTTTTGTCTTTTTCTCTAAAAAGGTTTTTTCCTATGTATCAGAAGCTTAAAACCAGCTTCTGATATTATCTTATCAATAGTGGTTTTACCAAGACCAATATTCGCTTTTTTGGTAATGTCATGTAACACTAAATGAGGCTCGGCATCGATAACTGATTCCACTATCTTTCTTTTTATATTGGTAATCTTGGTTGATCTTCCACTTCTTTTTACATGGTGAGTGTTTCCACCCCTAGATTTAGCTCTTTTGACCACAGACTGAACAGTTAACTTAGATACACCTAAAGACTTAGAAATTTTGCCATATCCCATATTTGTATATTTATACAGAGTATAAATTTCCTTATTCAGGTTTTCTCTTACTCTTAGATTATGTGGAAGGGCCATGGTGAGGAGGGTTATTATAATGATGAGGTGTTGCGGGGTTGCACCTCAGAGGTACGAAAACATTCTGGACATGACTGTACATCAATATTGTAATGATCCCTCCTTGGATGGTTAGTTTTTAGCGACGGGAAACAAGACTTCTCTTCTCCTTCTTTCTTCGTCTTATGATAGCACTAGGCCTCTGCCTACATTACTGATAGAACAAGACCTTTGTATTTTATCGGGAACATCTATTGTAAGCTTTCTCTAGCTCTTCTTTGTGAAGAACCTTCCTTGGCATAACAATAATGTTGCAATAAAGATAAAGATTGTAAAGGTGTTTTATATTCGTTAAAGTAAAAAGTAGGAAAAGTACTTAGAATTCAATCTAATTTTATTTAAACTTGTACCGCCAACACTAGCATACGACAAGCCCCCACTGGCATAGGGATACCGCTAACTGGTATACCACTAATCCTAAGCTAACTAAGTCTACGGCCCCACACCTGCCATCCCCAAGTCATGCCCACACAAGAACTAATTACAAGACCATCAAACAACCCAGCGCCTGCCCCGGTCCAAGTCCGTAGCCCCTCTGGTATGAAGCCAACCAGCACTAAGCGTAGCCGAAGCTGAGCAAAAAACCAACCCAACCAGGTTCCTCATCCAACAAAATATAAAATCAGTACCGCCCGGTCTGAATACCATCCCGCAAACCCTCCACCACAGTAGAAAACCAACAAAACTAAAACAAATATAAACTACAGGCGACACAATGGCAGAGAGGAGGTGACCAACATGTCCACCTCTTGCATCTGCATGCCCAGCCATCGACCCTATGAACCCACTTTGCCAAGTGCCTCCGAAGAGCGTAATGGTGAGGAGGACCTGTACCTGCTGCCTGTCCTCCAAAAAATAAAATCCATAAACAAAAGAAATACATAGAGGTGGTGACAGACTGAAACGGTCAGTGGGGCCTATCTCCTACCCGTGGTACCTTGCACCTGCCAGCCATGCCCAGAACCAAACCAAAGAAACCAAACAAACCCCACAAAACCCAGCACGCAAGACCCAAACAAGTCCAACCAGGTGGTCGCAACCCACTATCCACACAGGTGGCCATCAGCCTACCAGTCCATCGGGGAGCTTTACAGCACTCAGCAGCTTCGCCCAATAGCCCAAGGCGGACTGGAAACACTTAATTAGACCTCGCCCAACCTGACGCAGGCCTAACCAGTGCTCGCAGGTGCCTCACCCCCCCTAATCAGCCCCCCCCAAGCCCCACACACCAGACGCCACAGAGCCCATCCAGCCCCCCCAGCTCCTCAGACAGATCAACCATCCGACAGCCATAGGACAGCATATACCTAGCCCCATCAGGCAGCCACTGGTCTTGGCCACACAAACAGAGCCCCCAATCCTCAATACCATATAGCCGAGGGAGGCCCACCAGCCACAGCCGGGAGTCATAAAGAAGGCAGCACCAACACCCAAAGGCATCGGCACCAGCCACACCGTCCAACTCAACTGAACCGAAGTCTAACCGAGTCAGGAAAGAGTAAGTAGAGCCAGCCAAAGTCAGCCCCACAGGTCCCACAAATGCACAGACCAAATATTAGGTAAGAGGCACTCCCAACCAATGTGACAAGAAGGGTGGGGAAAGGGAAACAGAAGCAGTCAAACAGACAGTAGGCTTCACTTGCAATGGGTGAAGCCGCCAACCACAAACTACAATCAAACCAACTAAACGCACAGACAACGCAAGTGTCTGGCAGCCAATCGTCCCACACCACCCCAGGTAGTCATAAATAACCACACCAGGGGGCAGAGTTTTTCAGGGTCAAAGCCCTCCCCACCAAGGCAGAGAGGAGACACCTGACTGAACCACCATAAATGCCACAAGGACAAAACTCCAAGGGAACGGTGATAAACAACATCGTAGGATTTCCGACCGTAGAAATATGTAGTAACGAGGAGGGGGAGGGCCGGCGAGGCCCTCTTCCTAGTGAATTGATTTGGCCGGTATGACACATTGAGACTTAGGAAGGTCATCAGTCTAACTCAAGGGCATTTTGTATCGCGAGAACTAAGGACTCCGTTAAAACCCAATAAAAGATATGAGCTGGCCCAAAGAACAACACTAGTGATCCCGCCAAACACAATGTTCAATCCCCCCAATCAATCGCAAAACCTGCGAGTAGACGATAGACAGGAAGCCATAGACATTTTACCGAAAGGGGCTTGTATGTGTAATGATCCCCTTTCAGATAGTTAGTTCTTGGCGACGGGGAACGATACTTATCTTTCTTTCCCGTGCTTTCTTTGTCTTACTATAGCTCTAGGCCTCTGCCTACGTTACCGATAGTACAAGACCTTTGTCTTCTATCGGAAACACCTATCGTAAGCTTTCTTTAACTCGTCTTCATAACGAGTGCTTCTTGTCGTAATAGTAACGTTGCAATAAGGATAAAGATCGTAAAGGTGTTTTATATTCGTTGAAGTAATATATAGGAAAAGTACTTAGAACAAAGCGTGAAGAACCTATCTTCCTCGGCCGCATCGGCCTCCTTATATAGTGTTCT